CCAAATCCCGTGCCCCTCCTCCTCCCCACACCAGTTCTCACCAGACCCCATGGGCGTTCCAGGATGGTCCCAGTAGGGACTGGGGCTACGGGGCCCTCTAACTGGGACGATGAGGGGCTGCAAGGGGACCTGCTGCACCAGCGCCCTCACCCACGGGTACCACGAGCCCGTTGGTGGGCACCAGGGCTTTTGGGGTGGGTTTTCCATTCTCCAGCTGGCTCTGGGTCACAGCCTGCCATGGACCGAGGGCGGTGGGAGGGCTGAGAACGTGCTGCACTCCTCACACCCACGGGCTGGAACCCGCTGGGCTGGTGCAGCCGCCACCGATGCGCAGCCCCTGAACCAGGGCTCAAGGGAAAGGGGGTGATTTGAGGAGCCCCTGGAGGTTTGGGTTCCTGGCTGGCAGCTCTGCCCCCCTGGGCAAGGAGGACCCCGCGTTGCTGCCGGGGCCGTGGGGGTGGGTGTCCTGCTCCCCCTGTGCCGAGGCCACGGCTGTCACAAACACCTCCTCCGGCCTCTCCTCGGGGAAGGAAGCTGTGGAACCTGCTGGACAAAGTCACCCCCAAGCCCCCGCTCCTCGACCCCGCGGAGGCAGGGCGGGAGGCGGAGGCTCCGCTCTCCTTGCCCGTGGGCGATGGCAGCCCCACCACAGGCTCCTGCCCACGCTGGGGCTCTGCAGGAGGGTGACGGAGGGTCCCTCTGGCTGCTCCTGGGTGCTGCAGCCTCCAGCTGGTTCTGCTCGTGTCCAACCGGAAGACACCGCGAGTAAGAAAAAGGAAAGCACCAGGTTCTTCCCCGGGGAGAGCAGAGTGCCCACCCTCCCCTACCACTTCAGGAAGTCCCGCACCCGGCTCCAGAGCTTGGTGATCCACAGGTTGACTCCCAGGTCGGTCAGGTACTGGATTTCGGGCGTCAGCATCTTGCGGCACAGCTTCTGGTGCTTCTTGTTGATCTTCTTCTTCAAGTTGTAGCCCAGGATGGACTTTTCCCCCAGCGGCTGCCAGGGCTGCATGGAGGACTCTTGGATGGCGCTGGCATCCACGGGGTGTCCTCCGTCGATGCAGATGCTCTTCATCTTCTCGTTCTCCCGCTGCAGCTCAGCCACGTCCTTGGCCATCCGCTCCCTCCCGTAGGCCTCCACCTTGCGCCAGAAGGTGGCATTAAAATACCGGTAGAGCTTGGCGTCGATGAGGTTCCAGGAGGTGGCCTTCTCGTAGAGCTCGGGGGTCAGCCGGGAGACGGTGGAGCCCTTCCGGGCGTTGAGCTTGAAGTAGAGGATGTCCTCCAGCTGCCAGCACAGCAGGTCCTTCAACAGCACCAAGGACTCGTCAAAGTACTCGAGCAACATGACGAGGTGGAAGCGGCGATCGATCTCCCGGATGCTCTCCTCCACCAGCGGGCTGTCGGGGCTCATGTTGCTGTCGTAGCCCAAGTCGAAGAAGAGAAGATTTTGGAGGTAGTGAGCGTTGAACCCGTTGGGGTCGTAGTAGCGCCAAGGATCCCGCAGGAACTCGGCCAGCTTATCCTCCCCGCTCAGCTTCCAGGTGAGGGGGACGACGCGCCCGAAGTAGTGGAAGGACGACTCGAAGAGGTAGGCGGGGTTGGTGGCGTCGGGGGGCAGGAGCTGCTGCACCTCCCGGTAGCGGAAGCGCATGTGGTTGCAGATGATGTTGAAGCAGGCGCCGGGGCGGTAGTGCCGCACCTGGCTGCGCTCGAAGAACGCCGGGTAGTAGAAGTCGTTGCGGCCGTTGGGGAAGGCGAATCTCAGGCGGTGCTTCTCGCCGAAGCGGAAGAGGATGTTGAGGATGGTGCTGCTGGCCGTCTTGTGGGTCTTCATGAACATGACGTTCAGCTTGGGCGCGCAGCCCCGGCCCGAGGCGCTGCCCGTGCCGTTGGGGTCCGGCGGCCACTTGCGCGGGGAGGGGTGGGAGGAGCAGGAGGAGGGGACCGTGAGCCTGGCGGGGAGAGACGGGCAAAGGGGTGAGGGCAGCTCGGCCGCTACGGCCACCGTGGAGCCTCGGCCACCTCCCTTCCTGGAGGAGATGGACTCGGGCACGGGGGATGGACCTGGAGATGGGTGCTGGACCTGGGGAAGGAGGGCTACACCTGGGGGTGGGTTCTTGCCCCAGGGTTGGGTGATGGACCTGGTGACGGGAGCTGGACCTGGGGAAGGAGGGCTACACCTGGGGGTGGGTTCTTGCCCCAGGGTTGGGTGATGGACCTGGTGACGGGAGCTGGACCTGGGGAAGGAGGGCTACACCTGGGGGTGGGTTCTTGCCCCAGGGTTGGGTGATGGACCTGGTGACGGGAGCTGGACCTGGGGAAGGAGGGCTACACCTGGGGGTGGGTTCTTGCCCCAGGGTTGGGTGATGGACCTGGGCATGTGTGCTGGACCTGGAGATGGGTGCTGGACCTGGGGAAGGAGGGCTACACCTGGAGGTGGGTACTTGCCCCAGGGATGGGTGCTGGACCTGGAGATGGGTGCTGGACCTGGGGGAGGC